AGGACAGCCAAATTTACTTTACTTCGAGCCTCCTCGAATACGTATTTCTTATGTGACGTAGACCAAAGAGAACTTTAATGGAATCTTTTTTATGATTTAGATCTTTTTTTCTGATCTAACCCAACTTTAGTTAGTGAATTCGGTTTAATTTTATTTATATTAGGACCTAATCGAGAAAAGCCATACTTATCTGGAACTTCGAAGTAAAGTGGATTGACTATTGACTGTCTCTAGACACTATATTTATTCCATACGTAGGTATTTAAACCATAGATTAAGTATTTAAACTGTTGGTACTTTGTAGTCACATTAAATTTTTTGAACAATGTACTTACACAACAATGTATTTATTTATAAAATGCTAATAGGTATAGAATCAAGAAATTAGTAACATTTTTGACGGGTTAGGTACAAACAGGAATTTTTATGAAGAATTACAAAGAAATTATTTTCTTATAAAACTATAGCAACAAAGTTGTTCCTCTTCACGACACAATCGTAGAACATACTGTAAATATTTTTATTTAATATAGGTAATTTAATTTTGTCTATTACTATTACTTATATAGGTGAGCGGTTCACCCTTAAAAAAAGGCATGAATCGACTAAATTTTTAAAACAAAAACCTACAGCATGAAACTTTTTTTATTTTATGGTGTATTTTTCTGATAATTTACATATATTTTTTATATTTTTCGACGTGGTCAGTCAATTGTAAAAAAGTTATAAAAAAAATTACTCGCCGAATGGCGTTGAAAACACTTATTTAAAAATTAAATAAAAAGGAAATTAATATACTTTTATTGCACTTAATATTTTTGTAAAATAAAAATAAAATAATTATCCTATACAATAAATTATCCAATAACTTTTTTATTTTTCGAGACAGCTAGGTCAATTATTATTATTAGGTTAATTTTACGATTAAATAAGCTTATTTAGTTTAGTTTTGGTATAACTTTCAAGTCAATTTTAGCCATTTATAAAATCAGAAATCGAATATTTAAATTTTACTAATTACTTGCAAAAACCTTACCCCGGCTACAAAACCAAACAAAATGATCTTTTGAACATTTGTACTGTTAACATATATTGATTAAAAAAAATCATAATGCTTATTGTGAATATAATAATCTAATCCAAGATATTGTAAAAAGAAAATTTTTTGAAGTGTTATCATAATTTTCTTTAAAATATGTTTTTCTACAAAACTGTTAAAGGTGGGCTTTGACACTAGTGTTAAAAGTAACTTACTTTTAACACGCGTGTCAAAAAATAACATTTTTAACATCAAAAATGACAATTAAAAAGCCCACTTTTAACAGTTTTGTAGAAAAAATAGTGTATGATATACGTGTTAAAAGTGATTTTATTTTGTTCGTGAAGTTAAAAAACTCGCTACGCTCGTTTTTTAATCATCTTCACTCACAAAATAAAATCTTACTTTTAACACGTATATCATAAATAGCTATTTTTACTCGCTTTAGACCTTCAATAAAATGATTGACCCATACCAAAAAAATATATCTTAAAGTAGAAAATCTGCCGATTATTATGCTTTTTTTAGAATTAAAATCCGTTCAGTAGTTTTTGAGAAAAAAAATCCGAAAATTTGTCGATTTCTTCACTTTTTTCACATTAAATGGCAAATATCTCGGAAACGAAGCATTTTTAGAATTTTAGTCAAAGAACAAATAGTGTTTATTTTGGTCCATTTTTTTTCAGCCATTTGGCGAATAATTTTTTTTTTACAACTTTTTTGTTTATAACAATTGACTGACCCGGCCGAAAAATATAAAAAAAATATGTAAATTATCAGGAAAATACACTATAAAATAAAAAGTTTCATGCTGTAGGTTTTTGTTTTATAAATTTTGTCGGTTACCTTTATTTAGAAGCATCTTTTTTGGGGTGAACCGCTCGCCTAATAAATCAGAAGTTATAGCTTAAAACAGTTTTTACAAATTAGTTGCCCCAAATTAACTATGTGTTATGAATAAATCAACCTTCTTCGAATATTAATGTTAATTAATCACAAATTATTTGTTATTAAAAGTGTACGCAAATGAAAAGATAATCGTAATAATTATTTTCAAGAGAAGATTTGTTGAATATGTTAGTCAAAATTCCCGCTAGCTAGTGGGAACTTTTCAAAGTTTAGGCATTGGCAGGCTTGATAGTATATACCACAATTACCACCATGGAGACTATACAAGGAGCCCGAACTCCATGTAAACAAAAATCTTACAAAAATAAGAGGGCGCTAGTGTTCCATATGTCCCATTTGTAGAGAGGGGAGATAAAAAGCGGCAGTTTGAATTATAAATCAATCGTCATTTTTGTAATCTGTTAAAAATTTTAAAATAAATAATGTAAGCTACTTTGAATTATATAAATCATGAAAATATGTCATTCCGGACTGTAATTAAACTAAATAGATAATAAAAAATATTAGCTTTATGAGAAGAATTTGGTGTTCGTAGAAAGAAACTAGTTTTCAAGGAATTTATGACGTGATCTTGTTAATATTAACCTATAAGTAAGGTTTATGTTTTTGATAATTACTTTGTTAAAGATTTTAGTTTAATGTTAGTAAAAAATAGTCACATTTTATACAGGAAGTTGCCTTTAAAAAAATAGTAATTCTTGTATTAATAATATGGAATTTTTACTTGTGGTAATAAAAAATAGAATATAAAAAAACTCGGTGTTTTAAATAAACTTTTTAAAATATTACAGATGTCCGATTTTGAGTCCAGTGATTCAGATGACTTATTAGACGCATTGTCCAGCTTGAGTGATGATGAAATAGATTTACTCTAAGAAACAGAAAGAGTAAAAAATAAGAACTACTTTGAAATTACTGTACCTGAATATAGTGGCCAAGTTTTTTTAACATTTCCGTGTTAGCATATGGGAAGTAGCTAACAGAATTGAAGAAAAATTTGCCATTTCTAATTATTTCACCCATGATTCTGGTAAATTTTGCATTGCCTTAAGCTCTACAACAACCAGAAAAGTTACATACTTGCTAAGTAACTTGTCTCCACAAATTATAGAATGGCCGAGATAATGAGGCAGTTGTAATCGAACAATATTTTGCCCAATATGAATTTCCAGAGCAGGTTATAGGAATAATTGATGGGAAAGGAATTCATATAAGATAGAGTATATCACAATCCATATTTTTTTTAATAACCAATAATATACTATATTATAGTGTAACTGAAAACTGACTATGGAAAGTCGATAAATTATGGTTGGACAATTTCTAAGCTGATTGCCATGTTGTCGGTTTAGACTTCTCAATGCTTCGAGAGTCATATCGCTCTCTTCTCAAAATGTCAAGAAGCTTAAAACAACATGACAACCAATTGATACCAAAATTTTAACAAAATATAGGTACTCCATTATAAAGGTCACAAAAAATAGGTAATCTAAATATTTTATAACTGTTTAAAATCGATTAGTTTTCTGGGTATATATTTTAAAATTGCTGTAAAATTTAATTCTACTTTCGTAAAATTGTTGATTTAATTCGAACGTAACATGGTTCCATGACTTATTCCAAGGTAGAGTATAGACCAAAATTAATAAGGTATTATAAAGAAATATTTTAGCAATGTTCTATATTTTTGTTATATATTTTGTAAAAATAAAATGTTTATCTACCAAAGATTTCAATGTTTTATTAATTGAATCAAAAAAACGAAATTATTTGTGCCTAATTAAAATAAAATAAATATTTATTCATAACAAACAAGTAACAAAGTAAATATATATTACAAATAAAACAACTTAAAAATAAGTAATACGTGTCAGTCTATCTTCTTAAAATTTCATTTTGTTCATGAAGCAATTGATTTCCATGTTTAAATATTTAGTAAAAGTAGTCAATTACCAATACAGATCGATCAGCATCAATTACTACACGTATCCTCTCTTTAAATTTTATATGATATCTGAATTTCAATCAGTTTTTTACTAACAGGAAAGAAACAGCAACTAATTGGAAATGATTTATTCAATTCAGTAATGATAATAGCGATGTCACCAGCAAGAATTATATGAAAGATACGAATTTAATTATTTATGCACGTAATATAAATTACAAGAATATGTAGAAATAAATAAAGTATACTTTGTTGCTATTGTCAATATTATGTGAACATATTCATAGTTGCTTTGTCGAGACCTCATCACACGTCAACAGAACTTTTCTTTTATTAGATTATACAGGACAGGATGCTCACTTTCTAGTATAATCTCATCGTAACTTAATTGCTCTTGATTTACTTGCTGTTCTTGTTGTTGTTGTTGTTGTTGTTGTTGTTGTTGTTGTTGTTGTTGTAACTGTTGCTCTTGTTGTAGCTGCTGCACCTGTTGTTGCTGGTGTAGCGGATGCTCTTGCTGTTGATGCTGCTGCAAAATATATAAAGAAACAATGCATCATTCAATTATACAATATTTTCACTTATGAAATCTTTCTATTTAAAAATTTCTCTACCGTATTAAGAATCAAAGAAGCTGCTTCCAACTTCCGAATTATTCGACCTTTTGCCATAATATTAACCCACTATTCGGTCAAGTTGTAATATAGAACTGCTGGACATCATTAGATTGAAAATGCAGATCACAAACGTACTGTTTTATTTTAAATCTGTTGACAGTCATTCACTTCACATACTATTACCATATTTAAATTATTTTCGAAACTTTTTATTTACCATTTATAAAAACAAATTGTAATAATTATTGACTTGACTTCTAGTTTTTAGGTTAGTATACCTCCCCGCTCCCCAATATATCTATTAAACTCAATATAAATAAATTAAAATTGGTTATTTGCTTATTTCACTCGTATTTATGAAGCTACATTCATTTGGGTCATATGGAACACTAGCGCCACCCCAACTTCTGCCATTTCTTGGACAAATTTTGTCAATTTTCCCGTATGAGTTCGTGCTCCTTATCTAGTCTCCATGATTACCACCATTAGCTATGCTTACCATCATACTGTATTTTGCTTTTGAGTTTTGGGGTTTTTGATTGTGTTTGGCCTGATTGAATGGATTGGATACTTATTAAATTCCATTTTATTGCCAACGTTTGTGTTTTTTTAATTTAATTGGTGGTTATAATTTTCAACTATTTTATTGTAAAATCGATATGTACAGAACAGAAATGGGTGACAATCCTAATAGGTAAGATAAATAACTAAATGCAGTAATAAATCTTAGCTTTAACTATGGTAACGGGTTCGTAACATAGTAATTCAGGTGGTTATAACAAAATTACTTTATGGTAAGCTTCACCAGCTTTTCCAAAAAAAGGAAACGTAAAATAAAATAAAAAATATCGAAAATTGTAGTTGGATGAAATACCTGTGATAAGTAAGATACTCATTATTTGGTCGGGCATGTCTGCAACACAGATGAATCTTTTTTTTAAATACATAGCTGCGCCAAAAATGATATAAATTTAGTTTTGCCTAACCAGAGGTATCTCACATTGAGAAAGAGGGTAATAATTCTTAATGACTTCACATAATCATTGAAACACATTATACAGTTAACATTCTGAAAAATTTTCTGTTTTTGTTAGCAAAAATTTAGTTATAAACAGTTATAATTATGTACTTTAGTGTGTTTCAATGATTATTGTGTAATCGTGTAGAATTATTATTTACTTTCTTAGTAGTTTTTCTGGATAGGTGAAACTAATTTAATAAAATCTCCCTTATTGTCCCTATTTCCGGAAATACCCAATCCGAAAAAAGAGTAACTGAAAATTACACACATAAATAATTACAGACAAAAAATAATTATAAGACATATATGAATATTTATAAAGAGGAGATAAGATAAAGACAAGTAATGGATACATATAGTCAATGGATAAATTGAATTTTCTCTTTGATTCAAAAAAAAGTTTGAAAATTTAAAATACCTAGGAGAAAAGCTATTCCTTCAGAATTTATTGAAATTGTGAATTTAGTGATTATCAATGATTAGGATTTGGTTTAGGTTTACAATTCACAGGTAATGGGTATTCAAAATATTGCACGTAAGAACCTTAACTGAACCTTCTGGTTCAGATAAACTGAATTATAAGTTTTTAAATTCATTTAGCATGACACGATTTTGCTATCCTCGAAGATGTTATAATAACCAAAAATCCACTGCATGTGATATGAATTATTAGAATTTTTGTCTAAAAGGTAGGCATACACGAGTCGACTTGCCAAACCGCCAACTTTCCGAACGCAAAGCCGGAAGGCTAACCTGTACCCTCGGCTACCACATACACATTACTTTTTAATGCTGGATTTTGTTGAATTTTACAGTAAGTTTAGCGAAAAGGTGTAGACATGATCTCAGAATATGATCTTACCTTCATTGGCAATTGCTTTGTTGCGTGTAGGCAGTGAATTTCAAAAATTTGTTTAAATATTGCTTGCTTTTTGAATCGTACAAGCTAGGCAGAATCTACATAACTCAATAAATTCTGTTAAGAGTTTGTGAGACCATGTTCGCATATCTGCCATTTTTTCACAAAAATATGTATGCGATAACACGAAATGTCACACTGCTTTCTTTCTATTCAGAAACTCTAGGCCTGTACTCACTCCTCAGGCATACACGCTCCTCTCCGATTTGAACTCGAAAAGCATAGCCAGAAGGCAAAATTTCAAGCGCTGGATATTTTTCGGGAGGCCGAGAGTTCAGGGCAGGCCTTCTGATCAATATACCCACTAACGTTACAGTTTACCTTCCGGTTTAGAAATCGAAAGGCCTGCCTTCGGGTAAACTGCATTGTGTATGCCGACCTAAAGAAGTATTTTAGTATCATAAAGAATTTTTTTCAGGAATTGTCTTTATGTAACCAATTTCGGAGGAGATGTTGACAGAGTAAGCTAATTTTGTGCATACTTTCTCACCTTATGTAGTATTTGAATTAGTTTTTGCAATTAATTCAACATAGAAACATTTTTCATTAGATTCTGCTTTTCATTTTTATCCATTTGCTGTAGTATAGTTTATCAAATTTAAATAGTCGACTTCAAATGTCTTTTCATCCTAAGGATTTTTTCGTTGGCTTTCTAAACTCGAGATGCATTAGAATTGACAGCCGGAGGGCAGACAGAGGAGAAGTGGCACAGATTCGAGTTGTAAATGAGGACATCTATTCAACGATCGTACCTTTTACATTAGGCAGATATCATCACATGCCTTACATTAGTGCCATATCCCCTTTGTCTGTGCCCCTGTGACTAACATATTTTATTAATCATTATGATCTGATTTTTGATGAATATTTTTAATGTTTTAACATTTCATTGCTGTTTTGTTTGAAATTCAATGTCTTAAGGTTTGCTTTGTGTAGTATTAACCCTATAGTGTTTAGTAAGTAGAGAAAACCTAATTGTAATTATTTGTATGTAATTTGTAATGTAATAGAGGTTTAGGAAAATTAGCTCCTAGTAACCTAGACAGATCTCTCCAACTTTTTTAAAACCATAAGAATAACGAGGATCTTATCATCTGGAGTGAATTTTCTCTTACCTCTTTTTTTCTTTTTAGAGGAAACTTCTGACTGAATTTAGAAAATTTGGAGACGTTAGAAAACTTTATCTTGACCCATTGGGAGAATTCGCTAAAGTATTTTTTATAGACAGACAGTAAGTCTTTTAAAATACATTTAGCTCTGTCTATTTTATATAACAATTTTTAGATCTGCTGAAGCGGCGGTTAGCGCGCTACAGAATTCAGTTTTAAACTGGCAGGTTACTTTTGATACTTGGCAGAATAAGTATGTTAACCAGGTATTATGTTTTATACAAGTGTATCATGTCATAGTATTTTAGCAGCAAAACAAACAATATGGCACATTACGGGGATGACTACGAGGATGATGACTTTTCTGAGAACTTTGATTACTGCAACGTCCATGGACAGCCTTTGGTGGTATTACAAGCAGATTCAGGAGATCTTTATGTTAATTTGAAAGACATCAGAAAAACTGGATTTACTCTCTTTAGGAGGGACACCTTTGATTCTGTTCTCGTAGATAATAGGTTTGTCATTAAAAAAGTGCAGAAATAAATGAAATGATGTATCCTGGCTGAATTTAATGTTTGTTTTTGTCTGTTTAAAGGGACAGTAAAGTCACATCCCTTATCTATTTAATTGTGTAATAACAGTAAATGTTTTTAGGCAAATAGGAAAAGAATTTGAATTACATCTGCTATCTGAAGCTAAAAACTATATTTTGAAAAATCGAGTAGCCTCTATAGATGAAGATCAAATTTTAAAAACCATAGAAAGGTAATTACTATTAATTTACATAACGTTATAGGCATGTGTTTTTAATTTCCTGTAACTTTCTTCTATATTTTTGTAGATGTAAGAACAAACTTCTAGGTGGCACCGCTGGCAACAATTTTGGTATAGGACGATCTGTTTCACAGTCCTCGAATACTATAACGGTAATCTCGAATGTTCATCAGAGTGAGGCTAGTGCGCCTCTGTTGTCGGAGAGTGTCCCTCAGAGGCCTCCTAGGACCTTGCCTAATAATTTCATGCCGACCCAGGTTCACAGAGGCGATAAACAAAAGGGACCTAATACCCAAAATCAGCAGCAGAGTAATAGAGGCAAGTACTGGTAATAAAAGAAAATCGAAAGCTGAAGAAATTTTTTTAGGTAGAAGAGACAATTCGAGGTATAACGGCTTTAAAGGGTCAAATTCTAGCCCAAAAACCGAAGAAAGTTTTAATTCCGGCAGTTCTTCCGACACAAAAGACAACGTTAGGAAGTCTGGAGGATTTGAGTCGGGAAATAAACAGAGAAGTCCCAAGGAGAGAAAAGAAGAACTGACTAGAGTTACGCTTGAATTGAAAACTGCATATGACGTGAGTATTTTTCCATGGAGAGTCTTTTTTTTTAATTATAGAAATTCTAGGTTACGGTTTCGTACAAAGAAGAAAAAGAAAATATCTGCTGGGTCCAAGACAAGAGATATGCAAAAGAACTTGAGGAGGTTATTATAAAAGTAAACGAGGTGGCAGATGCCTTGGAGCCTATAAATCCTGTACTGGGTCGACTGGTTATTGCTGAATATGATGGGGCGTGGTAAGTTTCTGATGATAAATATTCCTGCTATTGTGTAACTTTCGACGTTTTTTCTCCAACCGTCACAAAACTATGACAGTCAGAAGTCTCTAAGGTTGACATTTTCCTTACTGAGAAAAAAAATTGTATCTTAGCAACAAAAGTATTCACTTTTAATCCTAGGAGCTAAAGTTGACACTTTTAATCCTTAGAATAAAAGTGTTAATCAAGTTTTAATTTATAAAAGTTTGTTCGACAATATTTACAATAATTTTTGTTTATCCACATCAATATTAAATACACAGTTTCAACAAGTATTAAAATAAAATAAACTGAAACTGCCACTACCCTAATTATTGGAGTAATTCTCAAAGCACGTATTCATTAATAGTTATATTATTTTCAGATGTTGTGAAATCAGAAATGACAAAGGTGCTTGGTTTCTCATTACCACTATCAACTCTGAGTATTCTTTTCACAATATTATCCTTGTTCAAAAGTGAGTTTTCAATGTAGCCTTCCTCCACAGTGCTCGATCTCCATCCTCCATGTCTTTTAAGACAAGTGAGGTCACCACCACTGTCAACTAAAAGGATAGCAGATGTTCGTCATAATGTGTGTCCACTGTACTCTTTCCAGTTGTCCAGCTTCAAAAAATTTGCCACTTTTGCAAAACGGCACAAATGTTATGAATACCAATTTCCACTAACATATCTGAGAAATAATTGACATTCTATAAATCCCGATGGACATAAAGCAACATATTTTCGATAAAAACTTAAAAATTGTCTCACAGCACAGTAAAAGAACGTGCTCTCCTGGTTTTGGTATTGGGAATTTTTATAATTAAGGCGGATTTCGCATCTTCAACATTATCGATTATTGTTAAATTGACCAATTCATCAGAACGACATGCGCCTGCAACCCCCAATATTAGGATGACCTATAAAGAAATTTTAAAAATGTTCTTTTATTTTTAAAGCGCTTACCAATATAAATTATCAGGTGCACTATTCAACAGCAATCAGTCCCCTTCTTTATATCCAACCTTGAAGGCAACATTGAAAATTGTGACCAAAACGTTGACGGCTTCATTTTATTTGCTAAGTTTGAGAAATACACCATCAATACATCTTCTGAATACAACTTAATATTTTTTTCTTTGTACCAATCCATAAAAGTTTGGTAGACACATTCATAAATTTTTAGAGATTTTTTTGGAAAATAATCAAAGAAACCCCTTCCGCACACTCCAGTATCTCTTCAGGTACACCTAAATCTTCATTAGATTCCATTTTTACAGAGTTTTCAGCAAATTGAACCACATACAGTCGCAAATGAACTCAATTAGCAATATGGCGACTAATGTTTGACAAAGTATATATCGGTATATTCTACTTACTTACTTTGCTTTATTATCCAAATTTGGTGTAAAGAATTTCAAAGTACAGAAAAAAATATCATGTTTTATTCGGATTAAAAGTGTCTTTTTTGTCTCGCAATTTTGCATCCACTCAGCTACGCTACGCTTCGCCTTGCAAATACAAAACAATATACTATTCAAATTTTTTTTTCAGTTAAACAATTTTTTACTCATTTTGTACACTTGGAGAACAAAGAGTGACCGCAGAAATCGCCCGTTTTTTCACAATTTGCAGAGAACTAAAGAAAATAGATAAAAATATGTTTTTGGTCTCAAATTACTCGTCGTAAAAAATTAAGATGAACATAGCTTTTAGTTTTTTGAAAATTTTCAAAAACCACCCCTATTTAGGGGTTGAAAAGACGCCCAAAATGAAGAATTGAATATTACCAGTAAATATAAAAACTATTATTAGGCGATTTCTCTATCGAATGATTCTTGATACAAAGAAAGATTTATTCTGACTGAAATAATCATGTTGAATTAGAAAATCCATCCTTAACCCTTTCACTACTCCAGACGTATATATTCGCTAAAAATTTATAGGACTCAAACTGCTCCAGAAGGATTAATTCGCATGAATAGTTAAATTGGATCAGGCTGTTCACACCGTGTATATTCGCAACCATGCGCATTAGTGACCCGGTTATTGCAATTGGTAAGGCGAATTTTTGCGGGCGAGCTTATACTGATTGTGACAAATATTATTATGGAAAGAGGTACTGGTAATAATACCAAGATTGTTCATGTTTATTTCAGTTTCTATTTAGTACATATACTGTATTTTATTCAAAATAAAATCGTAAAATTTATCGTAAATCGTAATTTAACACAATATAATGTAAAACTATAAGTGGTTTAACTGCTCCAGACATATATATTCGCACGCGATAAACTTACGCGCACGGCGCGGTAGCTACGTTCAGACGTATTGCGCAGCGAAAGGGTTAAGCGCGCTCAGAGGGTGGAATCATCCCCAAAAATAGAGAATATCAAAAATAATTGTATAAATTCCAAAAAATATATATATATTAAGATAATTCTTCATTTTTGGCATTTTTTCAACCCCTGTGATTTTTAAAATTTTGAAAATACTAAAAGCTGTGATCATTTCTGACACTTCGCCCTATTTGTTGACACTATGTATCAAAATTTCTTGTTTGGAAACAAAGACAATTTATTATTATTATTGTTATTATTATTTCAGTTTTTTACGACGAGTAATTTGCGACCAAAAACATATTTTTATGTAGTTTTTTAAATTCTCTGTAAATTGTGAAAAAACAGGCGAAAATCACAGGATTTTGCGGTCACTCTTTGTACCTAGAAGAACAAATTAAAATTCTGAGGCTCTAAAGGTCTTAAATCACCCTTATTAGTGATAATAATATCTTAATTTATATGATCATTGGGTATAAGACTTTCCGTTGGGAAATCTGATAAACAGTGGTGTTCTTCCAAGTCTATAACATTAACCATTTCTGAGAAAAAACAGAACTATTAACATTTTACAATATTTTGTGAATTATTTATTATTTAAAATTAAATTATTATTTTTAGTGTTTTTTCTCAGAAACGGTTAATGTTATTGACTTAAAATAATAACCTCTTTTACATTTTCATAATGGTTGTTAATATTACGCTATTTAATTTTTTAAAAAACGACAAATAAAGTTAGAGCAATTTTCTTCTCAGTAACGGCGATTGAAAATTTTTAGAGTTCTAGAATGTTGATGTTTTCTTTTTATAGGTGCTGTTTCTTACCAATAATAAGTAAACGACCTTTGAAAAAAATTACTTTGATATGTAACCTCCTTAATATTAAATAATTTCAGATAAGATTGCCAATATAATATTAGAAATGTTGCGATATACTTACTCAAACTTTTGGTAAACCATCGGTTCGTGAGCACATTCGAAAATAAACATTGAGTTTTTGAAAAAGTATCGTGGGAATTTGTGGAAATTTTTTGTTTGTAGCCTTTGGACAGGGCACATATCAGTTATTTTTTATTAAATGTTCTATTTCGGTTTCTTTTAGGAATCGTGGTCGGGTTTCTAGTGTCGATCCACTAATTGTCACGTTCATAGATTATGGAAATAAAAACCCCGTGGATTTAGTGAAAGCCTTGCCAGATTCCCTGAAAACTATTCCAATGTTGGCAAATAGAATTGCTATTGATAGTAATGATAAGCACCTAGTAGTGAAAGAATTTACGGACTTGAAGATCTTTGTAAAGCAAAAGGTATTGTTTTTTCATTCCATATGACTTGTAAAATTCCTTAATTTTCTATATCTATAGTATGACAAGGGCACATACGTGGTAAGCCTCTTGATTAATAATGGTCAAAAAGTAAACGAAGATCCTTCATCTTCAAAACCGAGCGAAAGGAGTTCGAGCGTGTCTAAAAATATTCCGGATGTACTCTGTGAAAAACCGTCGCCTTCCGAAGAACCTCCAGAGACACCCAAACAGAAAACTTACTGCGTTATTCCCAAGCCTTCGACTGATCTTCACAATGGGGATATGGTAATGCTGGTCGATGTCGACACTAACAAGTTCCTCGTGAGAACTAAAGAGTGTGCCGTAAAGAGTAAAACTATCACTGACTACATAAAGAACTTGGATAAGATGCGTAAGTATTTATTCATTTTCTGTCTCATTTTTCGGGTAGATTATGGAAAAATATATTGGTAGTTTGTTGTACACAGGGTGTTCAAGATATACTCCGCCAAACTTTAATGGTGTATTCTATGTTACAAATCAATACAAAAAATTCCAATAAATCGCTTCATTTTTGAAATATCGAGTGTTGTAAAAAAATATATCTCATATGATGCTTGGTGTAGATTGACGAAACTTGGGTTTGTGATTTAACTAAATATGGTAAAAAATTTGCTGAGTTCGATACATATCTGTCAATTGATGAAGGGAAACACCGTCATTAATAGGGCTGTCAGAACTGAGCCGCGGGACATAAACGTACGCGTCATGTCGCAACGTTTTAGTTTTATTTGAATAATTTATTAAATATATTTATTAACCACAAAATGTTTAAAAAAAAAATCCAAAAAAATCTGTTTAACCGTTTTATTCAGAAGAAGTCAGATTTAATGGAAAACTTAAAAAAAGTGTTCTTAAATTTTGTTGGTACATAGTTTATTATTATTTTTTTAATAAATGCTTCTAATACTCTCATTTTCTATGACACATAAAACAAAAAGTTTAAAGATGGAACATTGTATGTTTTTTTTTTAATAATTTTGTGTTAACTTAAAAAGTAGTAATAGTTTGTTTAGAAGAAATGTCAGCGAACTTACTACATATCGCTTTAGTATGAAAACATGCTATCTCAGATTTCCGTTGAAAAACATGCTAACTCAGATCTTTAAGTAAAAACATGCTATCTCAGTGTGACTAGAAAGAGTGACCGCAAAATCCGCCCGTTTTTGCGTAGTGTGTAGCAGGAACGGGGAAGGTTGTACAGAGGTCTTCGTGGGCTTAAATTGATCATCATGAAAAATCTAGGTGAGCATAATTCGATTTTTCCAATATTTGCCCGACTTACCCCTACTTAAGGGGTGGATGCCACCCCTAAAACAAGAAAAATGAAAAAATAGTCGATAAATTCTTGGTAAAATTGGGGGAATTTCACATGGCAAGGGTAAAATCAGGAATGTCCTAAAAATGCTCATGATAAACCCACCCCCCGCGTGAGGGTAAAACAAAAGATCAAATTATGGGGCCCGTCTTTCGTATCATTTGTCGGGTAGTGGGGGAAACAAAGTACTTCATGAAGTGGATATCATTCCCCGTCTGCTCTCGGCAATAGGGGGTGTTTTTCACCTGAGCACTTTTAGGAGGCCATTCTTGATGTTACCCTTGCCATGTGGAATTCCGCCAATTTTTACCCAGGTTTTGGTGACCATTTTTTTCTGTTTTCTTGTTTTAGGGGTGGTTTCCACCCCTTCAGTAGGGGTAACTGATCAGAATCCGACAGAAGAACGAATTATGGGGGCATGTATTTCATATCATTTGGATTTATAAGGAAGAGTGGCACAAAAAAGGCAATTCATGAAGGGAACATCATTTGCCGCCGGTTTTCGGCAATAGGGGTGGTTTTACCCCCATGCGGGGGATGTTTTTCACCTTGAGCATATTTGGAAGGACATCCCTGATCTCTTCCTTGCCATTCAAATTCCCGCCAATTTTTACCAAGGATTGATCGACCATTTTCTCACGTTTCTTGTTTTAGGGGTGGTTTCCACCTCTTAAGTAGGGGTAAGTTGGACAAATATTGGAAAAATCGAATTATGCTCACCTAGATTTTTCATGACGATCAATTTAAGCCCACGGAGACCTCTGGACGACCTTCCCCGTTCTTGCTACACACTACGCAAAAACGGGCGAAAACATGGATTTTTTTGCGGTTACTCTTTAAGTTGGCACATTGAATGATTGACACCGTGCATTTATAATAAACTTATATAAAATATATTTAAAAAAGTAAGGAATGTTTATGTTCAGGTACACTGTTTATTTTATTTTTTTATTCAACATTTTTCATTTAATTTTGTTAAGTTACTGTTATAATCGACAAAATTGTTAATTAAAAAAATAGAATAATATGCAGTATGCTGCAACACGTACATTACTCGACGTTTTTTGAAATAACAAATTATAAAAAAAAATAGTGTATACCTTAATGTATAAAAATGTTTGTTATTACTAAAAATTAATTGCGCACTCTTATCTAATTTATAGTCACTACTCTTACTTTTGTTAATAGAGTTAACATAATAACCAGAATATTAATGTATAAATCTGAATGATATGTATACATATATCGATGCGACGGACGCATATTATTTGCAGGTGCACATTTCCGCGGTTCCCCATGCACTCATGTTTATCATTTTCCAACTGAAGTTTGAGATAGCATGTTTTCCAACCGAAATCTGAGATAGCATGTTTTCGTACTAAAGCGTTGATATATATGTCAAATTTAAATTTTGTAGCTTTGACCAATGTGAAAGTGGGCCAGCTTGTACTCTCCAGCAAAGATGGTTTTGCTGGTTTATTCAGAGCTGTAGTAGTCAAACTTGACAACGACCTGATAGTGACTGTGAAATACATCGATTTTCCCGGCGAAGCTGATCTATCGGTTAAGTCCCTCAGGAACATCGATGACTTTTTAGCCGCCGAACCTGCCACTATATTAGTTACAAAAGAATTCAAAGGTCTTGAGGATATGAACGAGGAAGCCGCCGAGTATGTCTCAACGATCTGCCAAAATAGAGGAAAATTCAAAGTAGTATGTGTATTTCGTTTAATTTGAAAAGTATTTGCATTTACGTTTGAAACTGTAATATATCTTTTCGTGTTTTATTATGATATTGTGAAAAACAACTACTTTGTGGACTACGTGCCTCTTCCGGCGTTATATAGTAAGCGGTTAGTCATTTGTCAGCAGAATCACCAGACATAGACCAGTTTCGAACGTACTAGTTTATCAGTATGCCATAAGTGAAGTTGATTTGGATCTCTATCTACCGACATCTTTTGATTGTGGGTGAGATATAACCTGCAAAGTATGTGTCATACCTAGATGTCACTGTTACTCATTGCCTACTAGCACAAAGCATTGCTCTGTACCTACTGGCAGAGAGCGACCTACTAACCAATAATTACTCTGAAAGGATGAGTAGTGTTACATTAGATGGTTTGTTTCGTCTAGTGCGACATTAGTTAAACTTTCGTAGTACTTACAGATTAGTAGGTTGTGATGTGTCAGTAGGAACAAAGTAATGCTTTGCGATACTACCTTCTAAGTTTTATCTCACACTTATTTTTTCATGGTCATTAACCTTCTGTTTCTCTTTTAGATCTTATCCGGGGATAATTTTGATCTGCAAGCAACCAATGGAAGTTTACTCTCGCAAACATTGCAGGATTTCAAAACTCCAAAGCCAGTTTTAGTAGAAGAGCCAGCAGTCGTACCAGAAGCTTCTAAGAAACCAATTGAAACCGAAGAAATTAAACCTCCAGCTGGTGAGTACACCTGGGACTTTGGTGGTTTTAAGGCTTTCATGACCCGTGCCGTTATTTGAAGTATTATGATTTTGGGGCTGGTATACCGGGGACTAGGTACTTGTTCGCTGCCAGATACAGATCTACAAGGTGCTTTCTTAACCTTAGTTATGAATCTTTGACCTGCCTTTGTTGTTCTCGAGCTAGGCTCTGTGGGGGCAGACCCCTGTATCGGAACCCTAGGCCCGCCTTGATACTTGAGAACCGACAAGAACACCATTTTATTGACAGTATAATATCTTTTGACAGAGTTGCGTATTATTTTCAGCAAACGACGAGAAAGTCCTTTATGACGAAATGGATTGGATTAAAATCGAACCGGGCACCTATTCGCTCATGTGTTACTGTGTTCAGGATATAGACGACATAACTTTTCTATCTTCCACTGACGAGGTTATAGGGTATTTGGAGACGATTACCAGCGTTATGCCTACCGATGAGGTGCCCTACAAGCCCAAAGCTTCCGAAATGTGTCTCGTGTCATACAAGGGGCCTGAAGATGATGAAGGTAATGTTTTTCAGTTCAGTAGTGTTAATTGGTTTGAGTTTTTTTTTTACAATGATAGGAGATGCACGATTTTAACAGCAAATACAATTTTTTTATTAACAAATGAATACTTAACATTTTCAGAATTTTCACGAGAAAGTTTGAACTTTTCAACTATGTATAAATATTTCGCATTTCTTTATTTTTATAACGATTACATAATGAAGAACATAAAACTCAATTTATTCTAATAAATGGAATATTTCCACAAACTAAGTAATTTGAAATGAGATATTTTGAACTTTTTTTGTACAAATCCATGAAAAATCAAAAAGTGATTAATGAAATATGTTTTAAATATTTTATGCAAATGTTTTGAGGAAAGAAACTATAAAAAATTGAAAATGTCTATTGTTTGTATCAAATATTAATTAATTTACTTTTGTAGCTACGTGGTACAGAGCCGTGGTACTCTCCGAAGAAGAAGATAAATATACCATAAGTTTTGTAGATTTCGGTAACATAGAATGTACAAAAAGTGAGAATATAAGGAGGTTTCCTGCTAATTTGAAGGACATACCTATTTTGGGAATAGGCTGTTCATGTACTGGTAAGTTCGTATTTTTATATTTTTAACTATTTCTGTGACGTTTACACAAATTCATTAAACCAAAAATGTTTTGTTTATATTTGTTATTAAATTTACAATAGGGGTCAATAAAAATTAACTATTCTTTTATATGAATATAATTTTTTGCTCAGTTTTCCTTTTTGTATTTTTTTTTATCGATTTCTAAAAATAATTGCAATTGATCGAGTTATTTATTAAGTAAACCTATTTTCATTCATTTAACCGAGTTGGGAAGTTCCAGTGGTCACATAGGCAAGAATTTAAGTGTAATTTAAAAAACGAATTATAGCTGAACTATTTATTTAATCTAAAAAAAAATAATCTCAGATTAGTATCCTGAGGAACATGTACCCCTAAGAAAACTGACCCTCACTTAAAATTACACCCTATGTATAAGAGGTGCCACAGAGGTATATGAGTATGGACGTACTGGACACATTTTCATTGAGCACAATGTAATTTTTTTTTAGAAAAAGTAGTCTTAGTACTTTCGTTAAGGGATAATACCTAGCGCTGGCAAAAACCGGAGAAAAGTCAAATCGACTAACCGGGTTCCATAAAAACCAATTTCAGTTAAAACCGTTTAGCCGAATAGTTGTTAAAACCGGTTATTTGAATAACCGGTTACGGGAATAATGGCCAAAACCGGTGAAAATCGGTGTTTTGAAAAACTGACGGGATGTACAATGTTATTCACATATTCATCTATTTTAAAGTTAAATCTAATGTTAAAAGTTAAAATGTTAAAACAGTTCCACTTAATAAACTGTGGTTCTTCAATTTATTATTTATGTAAATGGGTTTGGTCGTACCGATGTAATACACCCTGTGTACGTACGGGATGTCGCCCAGCAGAAAACCGCAGCACAACCTTGCTACAGCCTCCTAAAGGACGTACCTGCCGAGACGACTTTATACAGTTAACTGGTAGTTACACCGCTGCCACCAGGTCAGGTAATTTTTGGTAAAATTCTCTTTTTCCGCCTGACCTCGGAAACAAGAGAGAAGGCACGTGGACTTGGCTGCGGCTTAAATTAGAAGGTTGAAACCTTCAATGCGTGGGCTTTATGTGTAAAGGGAATAATTGTTACAGTTACAAAAAAATAATAAAAAAAATGAATATCAGCAAAACGAGTATATTAAAAAAAAATAAAATGCGCAACAAAACAAAAAACTCAAAAAAAATAATTATGACATGTATATGGAACAGAATTCGAATAGGCAGCCAAGTGCCGGTTGAAAGCACGGTGTCACAGCACCAGCGAGCAACACACGATGGCCACAAAACATCAAAAAAGTAAAATCTAAAGGTGAGGTCTACCTCACGGCAAAGTGAGCCACACTGTATTGCACACACTCGCGTCTAACTCGCTAGGCGCGAGGAATCAGCGTTTGACGCTATCACTATTAAATAAGAACTACTTCTTGCCTGATGGCCTAACGTTATCAAAAAAAAAACCCAAATAAATTAGATGTGAATCTAAATTTAACAATAAACTAACAAAAATAATCCCTCTATATACTAAAACGTTCGAAACTCACCAAACTTGCCTTGGCTGCTAATCCAATATGCAAATCGCCAAACACCAACGAATATTACCTCGGCTTCCACGCCGATCGACACAGATTCCTATAACAATGGACTCTAGAAATTACCCAAGACAACGCCTAATGCCCTGCACTAAAAAAAAATCCTCCAAACCCAGGAGCCCCGCAACGACTTTATTCCCGGAGCCCTGCAACGACTGACTCTAAAATTTTCTTCTCGAGCCGTCTCGAGTTCAATTTTAATTTTCACAAACTTTACAAAATGTTTATTCCCGAAGTTGCCACCAAGTGATCTACCAGCGCCACCTCTCGGGTTCACTTTTAGTACCCGGTTCCTATTCGAATGATTAAATTTTGCACCGCGATGGACATTTAGCCCACGACGCTCGCTACCCACGAGAATTTCGTCGCTGTCATGCACTTTCCGAGAAGCCATTCTTATCGTCCGATAATTTCCAGGCTAAACTTCCTCTCACCGGACCTCACAGTTATACAGGATGGCAGGTTTACCTATTCTATATACCTATTCTTAATACATAAAATCCTATTTACTACACCGATTATTCTGATGTTTGAATGAACAGATTATCGAATAATCTGTTTTTTGAATAATCGAATATTTGAGAAATTGAATAACCATTTTTGGGTTTCTTATAAATCCGAATTATCCGAAACCGGTTAACCGACTATCCAAAAAACCGATTTCAGTTGCCAGCAGTTGTAACACCACTGTAAAATGTTAAAACAAAGTGTCTTCTTGCATTTCTTTTTAATAGAAGGAAAAGTAAGAGCATTCTAGGATTAACCATGTCTTTAAGTCTCTGGAGCCATTCTCGTGAGGCATATTGAATTCGAGGTGCTCTCCTTTTAATCTACATTAGTATGGTTAGAGAAATACATAGGGGATTTTGAAACCATTAATTTTTGTGTGATTGGTGGGAATTTGAAGTAAAAAGTTCAATTTTTTACAAAAAAAACGGCCAATCATTGGTCAGTAAATATTGTTAACATCAACTTATCGAAAATCCTGTATGTACTTCTCTTCGGAGTGTTGTTTTAAAGTTATGAATAAAATTTGGAGTGAATAGAATGAAAATAGTTCGGATCAGTCCGACGCGCTTGGAAAAGAGCTCGGAATTTCAAAGAAAAAAATTTGTATAGGCATAAAACTTTTCCCCCTTATTCTGAAGGTTCAAAACATCTTTTCAATCAATCAAAAAAGATTTTCTGAACTTATAAAATTATGATTTTCATTCTCACTTTTTTTTGTAGGGCTTCCCAAGAAGCAGCAGATCGTAGACCGTTTAAAACAATTGATTTCAGAAGGCACCCAGGTAGACGTGGTCGTCAAAGGACTTGACGGTTTGAAATATCAAATCGAGATGCCAGAAATTTATAAACAGCTAAAAGCGGAGAACCTTTTTTAATTTTTAGGGTAGAATACAAAGAGACACTTTTATAAATTGTTTCTTCCCTTTATCAAAACGTGACATATGTTTGAACAAGACTTAAAAGATGTTGATTTTTTTAATATTAGGAATATTTTTGTGACAACCAACGCATGTAAAGGAAATATGTATGTTGAATTGGCATAATGAAAAGTTATATGACATACAAATTCATTTTTCAACCTTTTTTATTTTTCATAAAGCAAACAACTATTAAGGTGTGTAAAATTGTCATTTGTTGCGACCCATGCATTCTCACTATTAAATTAAGTACTTAAAATAATGGAAAATGTGAACGCAACGTCTTATTATTTTTTATTCAAATTAAAGGTAGTTTGACTTTAAAATTTTGTAAAAGCTTGTTCATTTTTATATTTTCCCTTCAACTTATGCCAATGTCAACATTTTTTGAGGAATAAAAAAATACGGCGATTGGTTAAATGTGTTTATACAGGGTGTTCACTTATTAATTAGGCAAATGTCGACAGTTGATTGATGAAAATTAAGAGGGGTAGTTTAAATAAAATTTAACTAAAGAATATTTAATTTCCGAGATACCAGGGTGTTGATGTTGAAAAAAATTAAAATTACTTATTTTCAAGCGCAGCCCGGAAAGTCTTCCAACGATTTTATGTAAAAAAAAAACGTGGCGCTTAAACTGGGGTTCCTATTATAAAAAATAAATATTGTATGACTCCTTGAAGCAGAAACAATATTTACAATTTAAAATAATCATTGATTGATGAAGTATAAAAATAAACTTCAATTTTCTATGCCGAGTCGACGTCTGAATATTTTAATGCCTTCTAACTTTATTAGACAACACTTTTTTTCTAAACTTGGAGCCCCTTCGAAAATCGGCACCTACCGAGTTGTAGACGGGTCTACAAGTGTTATGGTACAAATCTTTCAACGAGTATATTGGTCTAAAACGAAAAATATTTAATAACGCTGTGGATTTAGCCGAACAATGATTTTTAAATAGACTAGAATGCATCAGCTGTTTAAGACGGCTCCATAGCAAATAGGCAACCAGCAATACATTTTTATATATTTTATTACACTGTCTAAATATGAATTACTGCACAAATAACAGACCCCCATTTTAACACAAATTTTCTATAAAATGGACGATTTGAAACTCAAATTCCTTTTTGGTGTAAAGAAATTTGTAATTTACCACGTTTGAACAAGCGGCACCATAAATTACAAATTTCTTTACACCAAATAGTAATTTGAGTTTCAAACTAATTCCATTTTATAGAAAATCTGCCTTAGAATGAAGGAAAATGTTATTTTGTCATTAATTCATAATTAGACAAACTGTAATAAATTCTATAAAAATGTATTGCTGGTTGCCTATTTGTTGTAGCGCCCTCTTAAAAATCATAGAAAATTTTCAATATATTGTTTTTGTTTTACACAGTGTTGTAACGTTTATTTTTTATGAAAATTCCTCAATAATCGGATTTGCCTGTCACTGTTTTTTGTATTTACAAAAAATATTGTATTTGCAAATAATTTGTTTTCCAATATGACACCTTAGAAACGAATAATTTTTCTACAAAATATCATTCATATTTACCCCTATTAATTTTTAGCAAAATTTGTGATATTTGGCCAGTTACTAAACACTCTGCAATAATGTTAAGTTTTTTAGTCCTTTTCTACATTGCTTTTTATTTTTCAATTTTTAAGAGTCTAAGCATCATTTCAATAAAAGTATATTTTATAATAATTTGTTTTATTTACCTTCCTCCCTTTTTTTTCCTTTATTTTTAGCAAAAACATGGTTTACAATCTGTAAACTTAGTAAGTGAGAATTAAATGAAATTCAAATATTTTTTTGTTAAATATAATTGAAAAATATGCGTATTTTGAAACTACAACTTCAGAAAAATTAAATTTCCATACCAATTTTTGAATATATAACATTTTTTCAATTTTTGCAATTTTTTTCCAATTAAAGATTAATTGTGCAACAAAGAACTATTTTTTTATGAAAACACAAAATTGCCATTGTTTCAAAATTAATTCACAAAAAAATAATAGAATTGTCCCATCCTCCAGCAAATATCCCACTATCCTGGGTTGAATGGAACGAGGAGTGAATATGTTACGAAAATTATTAATATATTCCGAGTTGTGCAGAATTTTAAACAAAAGATTTATTAATGAAATTTTAAAAAAATTAGGTCAAGAAAACTATCAGGCAGGTCCTTGTGGTCTATTTATAAAAACATATTTGACCCATTTGCTTTTAGTTAATAACCTGCATACCTATAAATAATATCGCCCTGAATGTAACATTTTAAAGTAAAATGTCTGTTTTACTGCAAAATAGAGACATAAAATTCTTTTTTAGAGGTTTCGATATATTTCGGTTATTTTAACTCTACAGTTAGAAACTCCAAAATGAAATTTTTCACACTAAGTTGTTATGCTGTGTTTTGTAAAAAGATTCATTTAATAAAATAATTACAATACGCCTTGAAAATATTTGCAATTATTTTAAATAGTCGCTAAATATTTTTTGAAAATTGTTACCCCCCTTAATACTATTTAAATAGTGGCGGGAACTGAAGATAAAACCGTCAGCTGTTTTAAAAGGTGGAAAACCGGTTTAATTCGAGCGCTACAGATGTCTCCACCGTCGATCAGAGAAGCTGTGCAGTGACAAAATGGCAATGGAATGTTGGTGTAAGAGCTCGACTTTGTGATGTGTTTTCGCTACATTTTTTGACAAAATTCGCGTGTTTTTTCACTAAATGTGCGGTGTTTATAACATTTAACGCAAAGTGAGTTGTACGGTTAAATGTGTGAGTGAATTTTATGACAGATTCTGGTGTTTCTTTTCCAATTATGTACCATATACTTTTAACAATAGGTAAGCCATGTCTTATCAATCACCTTTGTATATTTTTTATGAATTATAATTTGATTTATTGATCAAATGTTGTTAAAATAATTAAAAGTGCTAGCTTGTTGTTCTGTTAGAAAAATGGTATATTGTACGGTATCGGTTTTATTTAATATTTATAAGATTTTATTTACAAAAGGTACTCGGTATCCTTCACAAAATGTTAATATCGGTGCAATCACTTGCAGTGAACTATAGGAATATTGTGGAAATATAGTTTTATTTGTTATGTTTTTCCACATGCCGGTGAGGAAAAATCAATTTTCATTAATGTTTGTTCATTATAATTGAAATTTTATCAGTTTACGTTTCATTAACCCTCTTATTCTCTGCCCACCTATAAAACTATTGTGTTTTTGAATTGAAAATGCTTTTTATAATCAATTTGAGCATTATAATAGAATCGGCTTAAAAAATATTTGCCGAATGGAAACAAAAGACTTCGTTACAAAAAGAAATACTAAAATATTTTATCCGAAATCGCTTTGTAACCGGTTATTATATATTGAAGTGTGAGTTTATATGGTGTTAAGGCGAAGGTAATATTTTAATGAACAATATAATCCTCGAAGCTACATGCCTGGCAAAAATTTTCAGATGCAGTTTATTGAAACAGGAATTTCAGCAATATAAGATAAAGTATCACATTACATACAAGCCTTTTCTCATTACAGAAGTTGTGAGATTATGACTATGTATCTACTCTGTAAATAAACTTTGATTTTTTATTCCTTAACAATAAAGATCCGCTTATAATATAACTGAAAATAATAAAAACAAATTATCTTATAGACCCAAACTGATTAGCAGTTTGGGGAAATATTTTGAAAGTAATTAACTTTGAAATTAAAAAATCTCCTTAGAGTCCAATCAGGCATTACTATGAAAATTTACATGTTAATATCTATGAGCATCTCAGTTTTAATAGCAATTAATTGCTTTTAAATTAAAAACATGATTATTAGGTATAGTATGTATATGATAAAAGGGGGCATAAATTTAGGAAACAGTTTTTTTTTTAGTGCGCGCTTGCTTACCAAACCCATGTTTTATGGAAATATTAATAGATTATTAAAATGTTGTGAAATTCAATTAAGCATTTTGATTACAGCAGGTTATTTATTATATCTAGTTGCTAATTAAATGTGTCGTACTACGTTAACCATCTCGTTGCAATAGGGAATAGGGGTATCGTTGGAATGGATAATGGAGATGGTAAATGTAAATTTTCTGCTATATGTTAATATTTCTAATCTTATTAACGAACACAGCACTTTGAACAGTTTCCCACTGACTTTTAACATCGGAAATTCTTTTCCCAGCCTTGTTTCGTTTGAATTTGGTTTAAAAACAACTTTCCGAAGCCACCAGAAATGCATCAAGCAATGTTTTTTTAGGGGTAATTACATTTTACGGTTATTGCCACACAGGGTTAATTTTAGGTTGTTGTGGACCCCTTGTTTATGTATACTAATCTGTGATTTTTTTGAAAGGACATGTTTGTCTCTACCGAGGTCTTTGCCCAATTGCTGTGGGATAGAATCTCTAAAAGTTTTTTAAGCTTCGAAATTACATCGTTATCGGATGTCTGCCTTATCACTCTCACTAAAATAACACAGAAAAGCTGGTTCTCAACGATATGTACAGATTTAGAGTCTAAGTTGGGATGTTAAATGAAACCTGGAATTAAATTGTAACATTATTCTTACTTTTTAAAACTTTTCAAAGCCTAAAAATTGTACAGATAACGGGAGGGATGGAAAAAAGTTGCTTGCGAAGATTCGTCTTGAGTAGAAGGAATTTATATTCATTATTTGGTTTTTAGAGTTTAATAATTTACAAAAAATACGGAAAGCAAATTTATCTGCCTTAATTTTTTATATACCTACGTTTTTTAATCCTTATATTGCCTGTAGTTAGTAGTTAATCTTGACTAATTTTAGTAGGTAATTTTTACACTTGTAAGGGGTTTTATTAAACATTAAATTAATTTGAAACATCTATTTAATAAAGAAGTGTTAAAATTATGCATATTCCTTGATGCCTAATGGTTATTATAGTAATTCAGGAAGTAGCTAATTCATTATTTTTGTGAACGACTAACGACTCAAAAATGCCAATGTCTTCTCGTTAGTAAGATTAAGATCAGCATTATTTGCAGTCTTTTGTGCTAAATACACGATAAAGTTATTCCCATCAGGGGGAAACCGCAAGAGTAATTTGGTGTACAAGCTTGAGTAATATTTGAATATGGAAAACTATTTGAGTACCTAATACTGAGTACGATTCCGCTCTCT